CAACTTAATCGTGTTGTCCTGACGAATCAGTTGGGCAGACCTTGTCCGAAGTTCTCTGTCATAGTAGCTATCATAATTCCCAGTGTCAAACCGTGGATTTGGTACATTCCCAGGCGAGTTCAGTGTGGTGTCATCATTCACTGGCACCTAAATTCACTTGGTGCTGAGACTGGCAAGACTCACTGGCAATGGCGACTACGGCGCCAGCAAAACTTCTGGAAATGTATCAAGTCCACGGCGCGAAGCTGGGAATTATAATAACTACTCTAGCAGAGGACTTTGGACAATATGCGTCCAAGTAAGTCGCCCTGACAACACGAGATCAGACCACTCCTATGCCTATGGAACGATGGTGCATGACATCGTTGCTGCCATCGGCTATCTGCTCGACAGTGCCGCCTGAAGACTGCTATATCGTGTCTGGTAGGCAGTCTGGTAACTGCGTTGACTTTAAAACATTGCTCGAGGTGTGTGTCACATAAAGGATAATAACAGAAGGTATGAAGACCAAGATGGTGTGGCCTTTTGTGTGGTCACAGTCTCCTTTCGTTGTAGAGAAGTTGTTTGACCTTGTTTTCGCAACTTGGTCGTATTGGTAGGAAGACTTAGAGAAACACACCTTGTCCTGAGTCCATTGTATGCATCACCATTTCCAGAGTAGGACCGTGAACGTGGTACATTCCCAGACGTTTCGCCGGCATCGTCAGTGAGTCTCGCCCCTCGTAGCATCATATTACAACTCGTCAATCCTTTGACCAAACGTGTGCTAAAGAGTTGTGGTATCTCCCCTTCTGGTCTGGCCTATCCACATGTCCTATATCCTCCTATCATACCTTCCCTGTCACGATTTTTTACCGTGCTTATTATTAATGTAGTGTGGTGTGCTTTTTCCAGCGGCATTCATGAAAATCCTTCACACTCCACACTGTCATTATCACACCCTTCACCCTTGTGCTGGGAATCTTGACCAGAGTCTGTCATATTGTTACGTAGTCCTTCCCTGGGTCCTATCACAGTCTCCCTCTTGCGCCGTAGATGATAACATAAGTCTGCCCAAAACGGTAAAGCCCATAAGGAGTGAACCACATGTGTGACTTCATCGACGTTCGAGTGGGCTGTCATTCGGACTGGTCGTTGCCAATTTGGCGAGTGTCCGAGCTACGCGAATGGGCCGATTGGACGTTTGGGCGGACCGAGAGGATTTGGGTGGGCTACAAGTTGATCATTAAAAGCAAACGCAAGACTTGGCCCAACACCAACATTGTCTGCCTTGTACATGTACACACACGGGGGTGGTGCATGTACACGGCGCGGGTCGGAAATGTACCCTTTTCCGGGCGAATTGTCACCCACTTCTCGCTGGCCTGACTTCCAGATGTCTAATTGGCGGCTATTAATGTCCCGATGGGTCGAACAGCTACATCCAACCCAAAGTGAAACCAGAATATACCATCTGTACAGTGTCGTATCAAAATTTTCACTTTTCTGCCACCATAAGTTGGAGTTAGCTGACTCGAAAATAGGGCGACCATTGCCCAATTCTGTCCTTTATGGACTATCAAATCTGGGCCTTCGTCTCAAACCTTTCGAGGGGCAACTTCGAGGGTCAAACTCCGGACGTCGACTCCCAATAGTTCTCGTATTTGACCATAGGTTTCTCTGCTCCGAAGAAATCTGCTTGGGGCAAAAATCGGTTGGCACATGTTCAAATAGAGACGTTGACACTTTAAAGACACATTGTTTCGGCCAGACTATGGGAAAAAATTGTGGCCATCGAAACGGAAACCTCAGAGAGAGCTTGACGTCTAATTCGCTCATTGCGTCGAGTCGACGTGCAAACATTCGCAGGTTGTAACGACCATTCGTCAATGGTTCAAGAGGCATTGGGACAAAATAAAAAATTATGTTAAATTTAGGCTCGATGTAGAAATATACCATTTATGACGCAATTATCTTCTGATGAAACAGGGGAATGCTCGACGCTTGCATCCTAAACAGATGGACTGCAGCCTCGAACTTGCCTCC